CTAACAACAACATCATCAACAACAACAAAAACATCACAAAATTCTTATCTCAATTCTTTATGTGACTATTGCCAAGTTCGTAAGACAGCCACCAGTGGCTTAATATGTATGTATGTTTGTATGTATGTATGTATGGATGTATGTATTTACGTACGTATGTTTGTTTGTATGTTTGTATGTATGTTTGTTGGTTTGTATGTATGTATGCATGTATGTATGTGTCTATGTATGTATGTATGTATACCTGTACATATGCATTCATCATCAACACGACATTATTAAAATCATTATCATCATCGTCATCATCGTCATCGTCGTCAAAACCAGCGGCTTGAATTCATATTTTTTACGTCACGTGCAAACTCTAGTGTGACGTCAGACCAAAAAAAACAACAACAACAAATAACAATAATAATAATAATAATAATAACACCGTCACTATTACTACTACTTATAACAACAATACAATAATAATAATAATAATAATAATAATAATAATAATAATAATAATGACAATATTAATAACGATAACAAAAATTCAAGGTATAGTTGATGTAGATAACTAACCGCAACTGATATTTATTTCAGCAGAGTCGTTGCCCCTTAGATCATCATCACCACCACCATCAACAAAACATCGCTATCAGCACCATCAACAAAAACATCATCATCATCATTACCGTCGTCTTCTTCATCATTGTCGTCATCACAATCATTACCACCACTACCATCATCACAATCATTACCATCACCATCACCCTCATCACCATCAATATCATCATCACCATCATCATCAATATCATCATCGCGATCATCATCACCACTACCATCATCCTCATCACAATCATCACCATCGTTGTCATTCGATAATTGACAATTTGGCCCTCACATCTCTAAACAACCTAAGGCTATCTAAGAATGCGCTTACGAAACATACATACACACATACAAACACACACATACATGCAAACAAACATACATACAAACAAACAAACATACATACATACATACGCATACACAAACACACACATATACACATACATACATACATACATTACCAACAAAACCAGCCCATCTACTTTTTCCATATACGTAGAGAGTGGGTTTCTTGTTAGTGGCAATCGTAAATTTCATTACATACAAATTCCAGCAATGATATGTATGTATGTATGTATGTATGTATGTATGTATGTATGTATGTATGTATGTATGTATGTATGTATGTTTGTATGTATGTATGCATGTATGTATGTATGTCTGTGTAAAGAGAGCTTTGAAACGAAATAAATGATTTCTGCACATATGATTGCATGTCACGTTTATCTTCACATTAGTATGTCGATATGTCGGTATGTATGTATGTAGGTATGTGTGTGTATGTGTGTGTGTATGCGTATGTATGCGTGTATGTATGTGTGTATATTACTTAATCAAAGACGAAAAAACGTGTTAGAGAATATTGGGATCGCCTAATACAACTACACACACACACCGGTGCAAGCAATCGTATTAAATCAATGTAGACTCAAAAAATAGTAGATGAACACACTCTAATATTGTGCATACATAACCAAACACACAACATACGCACACGCACACAAATTCACTCACGCACAGACACACACACACGCACGCACACACACAAACACATAAACACACATACACCCATAAACCATCCATCTTACATAGATGCACATGTATAAATATACACATTTTACATACAAACTTTTACGCATACAATTGTGTATACTCAATAAGTTGTACTACTCCTTTGCTTACTTCGTACGAGCTCTGGAGTGGAATTTTGATGTCTCCTACAACATGATATTTATTCATTTTAATTAAATTTTTCTTTCATTTTGTTCATAAACGTTCTTTCGTTCATCTACACATCCAATCATTTGTTCGTTCATTTATTTATTTCCTTCACTCATTTGTTCATAAGTTCATTCGGTTTTTCGTTTGCTTGTTTATTCGTTAATTTTTTTATTTTCTCATCTTCTGTTAAACTTTCAATTTTTTCCGATTTTCAATTGTTCAGTTTATCTTTGCTCATCCATTCAAACCATCATTCTTTCAACCATTCATCAATCAATTTGTCCATCCATCCATCTGTCTATGCGTTAACTCACTCATTCATCCATTCATCATCAATGTTACTATATTCATAAATCCAATCATTCAATTATTTCAATTTATATATTTATATACTTAATAAACGGACCAATCAACCAACGCCAATCAATCAGCCAATCAAACAACCAGCCAGCAAACCATCCAACCGATCATTCAATCAAAAACCCAATTAGCCAACCAATCAACGAGCTGTAAATTTAAAATTAGAAAGTCTGGCGCGAAACCAACCAAACTGTAATCTCTTTCTATTGCCTTCTACGCACATAACTTCAGACTACAGACACACACACATACATTTGTACACACACACGTGCACACACACGTACACACACACACACGTACACAAACACAGACACACACATACATATATAAATGTAAAGACCCCCTTTCACGATAAGCCTGTTTAGTTTAAGACGTTTATGTTGTTTAACGCGTTTATATTATATGGACGCATGTGTGTGTGTGAACACATGTATTCACACACACACACAAACACACAGATAAGATGTAGAAAAACAGTGAAAAAATGACAGACAAAAAGAAGGAAACAGACAGACAGAAAAATAGCCAATGCAGAAAAACGTTTAAAAACAGAAAAAAGAGAGCGGAAGAAAAGAGTAAAAAAGAGAAAAATCAAAAAAGAGAGAGT